GTTGCTAACTGGTGCAGATGCTCCATTGGAGGGGTCTGTCCACGTTTCACAAGCTCAGAGAAGGGAGGGCATGACTGTGGCCGAGAAGACTCGAAGTTTCACGTGGGCCACTTTGTTGAGCTTTAATTTATGGCTAGGTCACTTCTGAAAAATAAGTTAATACCTAAGTGGGCATTGTCTGGTTGGATGGGGATGGTTTCACTTTATTTGTATTTGTTTGGGCGATGTGTTTACCTTTCTTGTACTTTGCACTCCTATCGTGTTGTTGTATTTTGTTGTTGTAACGATCTTACCCGCCCCTACTGGAAATCTGTGACAAATAACTCATGGCTTATCGGATTCCTCCAGTATAAATACATATTCTGAATTTGACCAGGTAGCTTCCACACAGCTTTACGCAGCCAATGAAAAGATCATGCCGCCCGACTGATTCGGAGTGAGACCTCTGCTGTCAGAACCGGAGCTGTTAATAAGCACACGTGCTCAGTAGTGGCGGCTCGTGACATTTCCACTCGGTGGGGCTGTTGTGACTTCTAATAAGTAATATTTTAAAAATACTTTTAAAAAAACACGCTTTAATGAAATGTACCGTACGAGTAATGGCAGAACTCCACGACTCCAGGAAGTGGCCCCGAAGCTTGCCACAACGTAAGGGGACTGTGGTGATTTACAGCCAACGTGAGTTGACTGTGGACAATTAGGCCCAAGCCGAAACATAACATATAAAGAAAATTGCTTTAAAATATATAGTTTTATTTTTAATGAGAGAATATAGTTTTGTCATCAGTATGACATTCAGTGAGGGAAAAAAGTATTTTATCCCTTGCTGATTTTGTACGTTTGCCCACTGACAAAGAAATGATCAGTCTATAATTTTAATGGTAGGTTTATTTGAACAGTTGTTAGGGCTGTTGCCCCTCGACTCCCCGTTCTCCTGTGCCCCCCCCGCTCTCCTCTTCTCCCCCCCTCGCTGCTGCTCCTCGTGGCATGATTTAAATAGCTGCACTAACCACCTCGCAAATACACCACGGTGCCGTACGGAATACACGGGACACCACAACGCACATGCTCATAAGTTAACGTGCACGGCGAACGCACACGCGCGGGAAAAATATACGCTCGTGCGTAAACACAAGACAAAACACAACGCACAGGCTCACCACACCATGCACCACCCCCCCCCCCCCCTTTCCTCCGTACTCACAGAGACAACGCGACACGGTTTAATGTCTGCTGGTGGTTTATTCTCTGTTTAATTAGAGTTAATCTACCCGTGTCCGTGTGGACCAGCAGGACAGATCTAACCTATTTCTCCACGGTCTAATACCCAAGTAGCCTGTCCTCTCTCTATTCACTCTCTCTATTAGAATTTCCCCCCTTTGCCTTACCTCTCCTCTTCGTACTTACGATCCGACCTCGTGGTGTTGGAGGTCGCGGAAAGACGAGGCTGCACGCGGCTTTTGCTGGGAACTGAATCTGGCTGTTCTACGACCCGTCTCACGGACGTTCGAGTAGCAGGAGACAATCACTCCTCGGTTCCTCACTCCACAAGATCCCGGGCAAAAGAGCCCTTGCTTCCCAATCCCACTCCTTTTTATGCTCCAATTTTCAGCCCTAGCGCCACCGATCCGCTGGTCCCTCATCCAATCAGGAGCCCCCCTTCCTTACGCCCCGCCCCCCATTGTTTAACCGAGTGTACGGTGTAGAGGTCCTAGAGGGCGTCCTCCTGGGCTACCGCTCCGACGCACGTTGTGCCACGGCGAGGTCCCTGCGCATGTCGTGTACGCACCCTAAAGGTCAACCCATGCCGCCCCGCCCCCCTCCCTGCTGGCCTGCCGCTGCGTGTGTACTTTTTGGCGGTTTCCTCACTGCGGTTTTCAGTGGGCCGCCTTGGTCGTGCAATTTTAAGTCACTCCACGGCGCCGCAGTGTCATTCGGCCTTGGGAGGGGTTCTGCCAATTCCCTGGCCCTGAGAAACCGTGGAGCACCCCCACGAGGGGGGCCCTCGGGTGAAAACTCAGGGGCAGGTGACCCCCCCCCCCCACGAGGCCCTACGTGAGTGCACGTGTGTGTTTATGTGGGGGGTGGTGGGTGAAGCGTTGTGCCGGCAGCCTGGTGGCTTCTCTATCGCAGCACCCCGGTTGCAGGCACGGCTCCCACGGAGCAGCTTCGCTGTCGTGGCACCACACAGTGAGAGACAGAATAACAACAACAACAAAAATCCAGAAAAACGCATGTCAAAAATGTTACAAATTGATTTGCATTTTAATGAGGGAAATAAGTATTTGACCCCTCTGCAAAACATGACTTAGTACTTGGTGGTAAAACCCTTGTTGGCAATCACAGAGGTCAGACGTTTCTTGTAGTTGGCCACCAGGTTTGCACACATCTCAGGAGGGATTTTGTCCCACTCCTCTTTGCAGATCTTCTCCAAGTCATTAAGGTTTCGAGGCTGACGTTTGGCAACTAGAACCTTCAGCTCACTCCACAGATTTTCTATGGGATTAAGTTCTGGAGACTGGCCAGGCCACTCCAGGACCTTAATGTGCTTCTTCTTGAGCCACTCCTTTGTTGCCTTGGCCGTGTGTTTTTGGGTCATTGTCATGCTGGAATACCCATCCACGACCCCTTTCAATGCCCTGGCTGAGGGAAGGAGATTCTCACCCAAGATTTGACGGTACATGGCCCCGTCTATCGTCCCTTTGATGCGGTGAAGTTGTCCTGTCCCCTTCGTAGAAAAACACCCCAAAGCATGTTTCCACCTCCATGTTTGACGGTGGGAATGGTGTTCTTGGGGTCATAGGCAGCATTCTAAGAAATATAATGCAACACAGAGAGTCGGCTAATGCAAGTCAACACCCGACCTGGTTGATTAACGTTCTTCCAAAGATTGCTAAATTTGAGAGACAAAACACAGACACGGAGACACACAGACAGACACATAGGCAGAGAGAGACAAAACAGAGACAGAGAGACACACATCGGCACACAGAGAAACAACGCCTCTGTGAAATTTTGTAGTAGAACGAAGCAAATTGGAGAGTACAATTATAACAATCACATATTCATTACACAGAATGAAAAGCCCTGGTAGAATCATTAAAATAAAAATGTTTAATAACAATCATTCCATTTTTTTTACAAAATTTATGCTTCTCATGGAGAAGCAAAATGCTCCTTCATGGAATAAATAAAAGGTGACCTTAGTAAATGTAATAATCAAATAGTTAATAATGAAAATTAATATAAAAAATAGTGTTGTTATAACAATTACATTTAATTAATATGTATTTAAAGTAGCGCATTTTGATGTGACGTCAAATTTCTCAACCCCCCCCCTCCACCCCCTAGGTGCGTGACGTCATTTATGGACGGCCCCTTTGACACTGCCAAAAGCCGAGAGCATGTTGGCCGTGACCTGCTACATTCGCACAGTTCAACCTCGCGTTGTGACATCATTACAGCTATGGGCGCCTTTTTTTTATTTACACACTTTTGATTAACCCACTCTGTCTGTTGTTGTTGTATCCTCAAATCTTGTAACTCAATTTTTACCCACTTCCCAATGTGCTATCGACTGGAAAATTGGTATACTTATGTCATACTGATGACAATACTATATTCTATATATATAAAAAAATATTTTGAACATTGTTTTTTATGTTATGTTTCGGCTTGGGTCTAATTGTTCACGCTCAACTCACGTTGGCTGTAAATCACCACGGCCACCTCCTGGAGTCGTGGAGTTTTTGCCATTACGAGTACGGTACATTTCATTAAAGCGTGTTTAAAAAAAAGTATGTTTAAATATTACTTATGACCGCCCTGAATGGGCTACAATGCTAGAAGCTGCTAATCACGATGAACGAAGGGGGACTTCTCTCACTCGGATGCCCTTCACAGCCGCCCCGAGACCTCAACGAGGCACAAATCAGATTGTCTTGCAGCAGCGGTTTCTAATACGAACTTAACAGGTCCCTGCAGGGTGGGCTGGTAGGAACATTGGAATTTTGTCAAGTCTCTGCGCTGTCTATTGCTGATTTTACACCCAACAGCACGAGATTTCACTTCGTTAAAGTATTGAAAGGGGACGGACGGACGGACACATTAATCTATTGCAGGCTGGTACACTCAGTTTACAACTTCGTTCCTACCAGTAAAATGGTATCTTAATTAGGCAATTGACGTTGAAATAATCATTATGTTTTAATTTCTTTTAAACACAACAAAAATTTGATAGAGAAGTATTTTTTTACGCGAATTTTTTTAATCATCTCCAGCTGCTTGTTTGGGACTGTGCCCCACACGCACCGAGTGGACGAACACCGCCCGGTGCCCAAGTGTGGGAAACTCTTCCACTCTGTCCACAAACTGTCCAATCACCATTCACACAGCATTTTATTTGGGTCTTTCGGTAAAGCCACGTAGATAGATCAAATGACAAAAAAATAAGAATAAAAGTAATATTTGATCTATCTACGTGGCTTTACCGAAAGACCCAAAGAATATGAATTCCTGCAGTCACGAAAGCTTAAAGTCGAGATATTCACACAGCACGCAAACCCCTCCCCCCAGCAGACCTCCCATCCAATCGCTCCACGCCCCTCCCCATTCACCCTCGCACACACTGGCTCCGCCCCCCGCGACATTCGCCCCTCCCACTCACACCCACAGGCTCCGCTCCCCACATTCGCCCCTCACGCCCACAGGGTCAGCCCCTCCCCCACATTCGCGCCCCCCCCCCATTCCGTACATACAGGCCCCGCCCCGCCATTTCGCTCCTCTCCCTCACACCCAGAGGCTCTGCCCCTCCTACTCCCCCCTCCCACATCACACCCACAGGCTCCGCCCCTCGCCTTCCTCCTCACACTCACAGGCACCGCCCCCCACATTCACCCCTCACACTCAGGCTCCGCCCCCTCACACTCACCGCCCCCCACATTCACTCCTCACTCAGGCTCCGCCCCCTCACACTCACCGCCCCCCAATCGCCCCTCCCCCTCGCTTCCACAGGCCCCGCCCCTTGTCGTTGATGCCCGTACCAAGAGGCCGCCGCCCGTCGCTCTCGCACTTCGCGGGCTTTTCGTACCCGCTGCGCCTGCTCGTACTGTAAGCCGTAAGTACTGCTGCTTATATTAGTACTGTCGTAAGTACTGCTGCTTATATTCGTACTGTTAGTCGTAAGTACTGCTGCTTCTATTAGTATTGTAAGCCGTAAGTACTGCTGCTTCTATTAGTACTGTTAGTCGTAAGTACTGCTGCTTATATTAGTACTGTTAGCCGTAAGTACTGCTGCCTCTATTAGTATTGTAAGCCGTAAGTACTGTTGCTGCTATTCGTACTGTTAGCCGTAAGTACTGCTGCTTCTGTTGGTACTGTTAGCCGTAAGTACTGCTACTTCTATTAGTACTGTTAGTCGTAAGTACTGCTGCTTATATTAGTACTGTTAGCCGTAAGTACTGCTGCCTCTATTAGTATTGTAAGCCGTAAGTACTGTTGCTGCTATTCGTACTGTTAGCCGTAAGTACTGCTGCTTCTGTTGGTACTGTTAGCCGTAAGTACTGCTGCCTCTATTAGTACTGTTAGTCGTAAGTACTGCTACTTCTATTAGTACTGTTAGTCGTAAGTACTGCTACTTCTATTAGTACTGTTAGCCGTAAGTACTGCTGCTTCTATTAGTACTGTCGTAAGTACTGCTGCTTATATTAGTACTGTTAGTCGTAAGTACTGCTGCTGCTATTAGTACTGTTAGCCGTAAGTACTGCTGCCTCTATTAGTACTGTTAGTCGTAAGTACTGCTACTTCTATTAGTACTGTTAGTCGTAAGTACTGCTGCTGCTATTAGTACTGTTAGCCGTAAGTACTGCTGCCTCTATTAGTACTGTTAGTCGTAAGTACTGCTACTTCTATTAGTACTGTTAGTCGTAAGTACTGCTACTTCTATTAGTACTGTTAGCCGTAAGTACTGCTGCTTCTATTAGTACTGTCGTAAGTACTGCTGCTTATATTAGTACTGTTAGTCGTAAGTACTGCTGCTTCTATTAGTACTGTTAGCCGTAAGTACTGCTGCCTCTATTAGTACTGTCGTAAGTACTGCTACTTCTATTAGTACTGTTAGTCGTAAGTACTGCTGCTGCTATTAGTACTGTTAGTCGTAAGTACTGCTACTTCTATTAGTACTGTTAGTCGTAAGTACTGCTACTTCTATTAGTACTGTTAGTCGTAAGTACTGCTGCTGCTATTAGTACTGTTAGCCGTAAGTACTGCTACTTCTATTAGTACTGTTAGTCGTAAGTACTGCTACTTCTATTAGTACTGTTAGTCGTAAGTACTGCTGCTTCTATTAGTACTGTTAGTCGTAAGTACTGCTGCTTAATATTAGTACTGTTAGTCGTAAGTACTGCTGCTTATATTAGTACTGTTAGCCGTAAGTACTGCTGCCTCTATTAGTATTGTAAGCCGTAAGTACTGCTGCTGCTATTCGTACTGTTAGCCGTAAGTACTGCTGCTTCTATTCGTACTGTTAGCCGTAAGTACTGCTGCTATTAGTACTGTTAGCCGTAAGTACTGCTGCTTCTATTAGTACTGTTAGCCGTAAGTACTGCTGCTGCTATTCGTATTGTGAGTATTAAGTACTGCTGCTATTCGTACGGTTAGGAGCAAGTGCTGATGCTGTTTGTATTGTGAGTATTAAGTACTGCTACTGCTGCTATTCGTACTGTTAGGAGCAAGTACTGCTGCTATTGGTATTGTGAGTATTAAGTACTGCTGCTATTCGTACTGTTAGGAGCAAGTACTGCTGCTATTTGTATTGTGAGTATTAAGTACTGCTGCTATTCGTACTGTTTGGAGCAAGTACTGATGCTATTTGTATTGTGAGTATTAAGTACTGCTACTGCTGCTATTTGTATTGTGGGTATTAGGTACTGCTGCTATTTGTATTGTGAGTATTAAGTACTGCTGCTGCTATTCGTACTGTTAGGAGCAAGTACTGCTGCTATTTGTATTGTGAGTATTAAGTACTGCTGCTATTCGTACTGTTAGGAGCAATACTGATGCTATTTGTATTGAGTATTAAGTACTGCTGCTGCTGCTGCTATTCGTACTGTTAGGAGCAAGTACTGATGCTATTTGTATTGTGAGTATTAAGTACTGCTGCTGCTATTCGTGCTGCTTCTGCTGCTGCTGAGGGAAGCGTGGTAGAGGCCTCGCTGCCCACGTGAGTAGCACCACACTACAGTACGTACTGTATAACACGTCCGGGGACTGCATTGACTGCACGTTGTTATGGCGTGCTGCATCGACTGGGACGACTGAACTGGTTGCTCAGTGATTGTACTGGAATGCCTGCCTTGTGATGATTGCTTGGCTATTCGGAGCACAGTTTATAAAGGGTATCCTGGTACCGTGTTATCAGGCTACACTGTGCAGACTTGGTTTTACTGTCCGTGACCGTACCCTTAACTCGTACATTATGAATGCCGTGCTTATTGGTATGTAATGTGCAATGGCTATCGCTCCTCTATAAGTATCTGTGCTCGCTTGTACTGCGATACCAGCATTGTAATGAGCTCCACACACCGAGTCGTATAATATCAGTGTAAATCTCTGTACCGACTCATACTGTACACACAGTACTACAGTGCACTATAATCTAATTAATTCTAACTACTCAACAATATCGATTGCTCAGTCGCGTACTGTATTGTATGTTCTGTATCTTGAACTTCTTTCGCACCCGGGCGTAGCCAAATGTGCTCATCGGAGGTGCATTGCACTTTTTTGCTGAAATGTCTGTGATGTTTTTGGGCATTTAGCTTCTTGAGACATTTGAGTCTGGATCTTGGGCCTTGGGTTTTTACGTCTCTGTCCAAGTTTTATGCCCCCCCCCCCTGGTGTATTGGTTTTATTGTTTTGGGGGTTTAGAGCCTTGGAGACTCATGCCCTGATTTAAAGGGTCCCTTATAGCCTTTGGGTCTTCTGCCTCAGTCTGTGATCTTTGAATAAAAAATGGCGAGAGTGTCGTGAGATTGTGGGGGTTATGTATTAAACATGTTCATCAATGGGCTCTACGTTAAACCTGAGAATTGTAATACCGTATGAATCTTAAGACACAATGGCCCATAATTGTTTCTGTTTACACCACTGTATTTCATGTCAATTTTTTGAACACTGCAGTTTCGTACTATGCATGTGTAGTACAGTGTATGCATTTGAATGCAAATAATGATGTCATTGAAATTAAAAAAATGATCTACCAATAAAGTACCCTTTATTTAACTGGGAAACATCCCTGAGACCTAAACTTTGTGTACCGTCATCCACTGACCATAATGTAGCCCAGGTGGTTGAGTATCTCACACACATGGTGCTGTTTGCATGATCACTAACCCCACCTCCAAAACAGTGTCACAGGTGTGCAGCCTTTTTACCACTTACGGAATATAATTGTGAGATGAATGAAATCCTTAGAAAACAACTTTGAGACTGCATTTTTCTGCAGAACCTTGTGTGGTTCTGGGGGTGGCTTCCATGTCATGATGGAAATTGGATGATCCCATTTCCGCAAAGCTTGTACTATAAGTATTTTCACTTCACTGTTGCTATATTTTTTCCATTTTCCTGAAGCAGGACACAAGTCTTGTCTGATGGTCAAATGGTTACAGCGTTTTAAGAAATTGTTCCTTCATAGTAAGTAGAACCATTTTGGCACTGTAGTTCTTTTTCAAGGAAGGACATGGGAGTAAAAACTGCAGTATGCTACTAACCACTTAAAAAAATTACTTTGTCACTGTAAAAAAAAAAACCCGTGTAAAAGAAACATTTACCATGTTTATGAGAATGTAAACAGCGCCAAAATCGTAGCCGAACCTTTTTCCGCCTCTTGGGAAGCAAACATGGAAAATATTTAGACCAGTGTTGTTCTCATCCTGGATACTCAACCCGCATAAGTAAAAAAAAACAAGTAAAATACCAAAATGCGGTGTTTATTTTGCAGTAGAGTTATATAAATTTGGTCAGTTCTCGAGGTTCACTGAGCCTTAAATAATGGCGTGGCAATTTCTCATCTCATATACTACAGTACTGTAACATTATTTTCCTGTCGTAAAAAAAAAGGCCGATACAGTTCATTTACTGCACAACATCACTTTCATGCGTTATCTTTTTTTGGGACCTTGGCACATTAAATATTATCATCATTCGGAAGAATAGGTTATTGTGTGCCATTGGCATGGTCCCATAATTCTGTATTTGAAATTATTCATAACTTAATTGCACACAATAGCTCATGTTACTCTATGAATCAAGTTGCTCAAGTAATGAGTGTAAATTGATGCTCACCTGGTTTAAGAATATTTAAGATATTTTCTTTTTACACAAGCATGTGTTGATTATTGGCCAGTGGCAGTGAGTGGTGTGTTACGTAAGCCGTGTGTGATAAATTTAGAAATTATTCAGGTTCTTATTTGATGGGCCACATTTTTTACATTGCACAGCAGCGAAGAGTAGATGGCATAACCAATGGTGAACCAAGGCATTGTCAGACCGGTTCAAAATATCATTCTGTTACTCAAAGCACCAGACCCAAAATGACGGCGCATACATCAGGGTGTATCAATAAATTGTCTTTCCCACAGATGTCAATGTGAGCAAACACTGCCTAGTATGTTGCAAAATACAACACTGGTTCATGCAACAGATAGTTGCTTAATGACAGGATGTTTGTGATATTCTTCAGCTTTCATGGATGTGAATTGTAAAGAGGCTAGATGTGCAAACATCCCTTGCACAATTATTCTGTGCACAAGCTCTAAGTTATTAAAATCGTAAGCATGAATATAGACTTGAACATGCACATGCAGAGTGTTATTTTCAGAAATGAAAATAATATTAGTTTTAAGATATTAACATATTTGACACTTTTAAAACTTATGTTTATTCCTGTATTTGTAAAAAATAATCTACTATTCATGTATATGATAAAAAAAAAAATATTCTAGATTTGAAGCTTTCGTGACTGCAAGGATCCATACTCTTTGGTTCTATTCGGTAAAGTCACGTAGGTAAAAATAAAATAACAAAAAATCACGACGTTTCAGCCACAACACAAGTGGCCTTCATCAGGTGAAGGGACTGGACTGTCCAGAGGACAGCATTGGAGTGAAGACAGCAAGCCCAGGTCGCGTCCTTTAAGCTTGTTGTCGCGGCAAGAGTATGGATCTTTGCAGTCACGAAAGCTTCAAATCTAGAATTGATAACCTCTACGGGGAGGGCTTTCACCTATCTGTTAGAGCTTTCAACAGACAACGGGACAAGAAGTCAAAGCTCATCGAGACGCTGACCTTCCTCAAAAGATGCCGCGACAACAAGCTTAAAGGACGCGACCTGGGCTTGCTGTCTTCACTCCAATGCTGTCCTCTGGACAGTCCAGTCCCTTCACCTGATGAAGGCCACTTGTGTTGTGGCCGAAACGTCGTGATTTTTTGTTATTTTATTTTTACCTACATGACTTTACCGAATAGAACCAAAGAGTATAAAAAAATAGTTTACAACATAGTCCTTTATTTATTGTGAAAATTGTTACCCATTACAGATAATTTTCAAGGAGGGTCCTAAATTTTAATATATTGGCAGTTTTTGTGTATTTTGCATGTGGATGGAAACTAAAATACTGACGAAACATGTTCATAAGATAATTCTCAAAAACAACCTACATTACTTGGTGTGTTTTCGGTGAAATGTCAATCATTGCCTTATTTCAATTAGCAGGCTTTTCTTACAGAAATTAAATACTGTATTTGACATGCAATATACTTGAATAATCTGAGTGTTTTGAAATGAAATCATTGCATTCGAACTCCTTACTCCTGACTGAGCACAATCGTATTTACTTGTGCTGATAATATTACTTTTCGATGTCCTGTCTTGATGATTATCATTATTTTAACAGCTGGGCTGGATCGGTCATTTATAAACACTGGCCTCATAACAGTGAATATGTGAGTTTATATCTCAGTTAGGGTCAACTCAGCCCATCACTTGAAGCAATTGGCGGGACCCCGGAGTCCCATCACTGCCCTGGGGTGGGAAAAACCACGTAGCGACACGAGTCTTGCCTTACCGACAACAAAACTAGTGTCAATCGATTGGCCTCGTCGAGAGCTACTCGGGGCACTAAGTTTCGTAAAAAGTTGAAAAATTACATAAACACGTTAAATTCACTGCCTGGGGGGCGGGGCTCGCCTTGGCAAAGAAGCTGAGGATCGACGGCTGACCGGAGGGCGTTGTCGCCGTGCGCGACTGCGGAGGACGCCCCCCAGGCTTGCGTTTGGCCGGTGGGGTGGCGCCCATCGTGTTGATTGCCGCTTGCTGGCGCTTGTTGGAGCGAGTCTGGGCGGGCGGCGCGTTGCTGTCGGGATCACGAGTGGGCGGACTGAAAAATAATAATTATTGACCTGATTTTTCCGGGACCCCGGGGTCAATAACACGTGCACCAGGGTGTGCCACATTGGTAACACTTGTGGCTTCCAGCAAGAAGGGCCTGGGTTAAGTGTATGACACTGGTGCCTTTCTGTGTGAAGTTTGTATGTTCTCACTTCTCTGTTCTGTATGGGTTTAATCTGCGTTCTCCGCTTTCCTTGCATACAATGTATCTGATATTGACGGAATATCCCAATGCTGAAAAACGACCTACAAACTACTCAATTGGGATTAGACATAGCAACATTGCCTCCTCAGCAACAAAACTTGGCAGAATCCTACTGCAACAGCCTTGAGACTCAGGATTTCCTGGGTAAACAATTGTAACAATCATAATAAGGATCTTCTTGTGAGGCTGCACCACTGGTGGGAAGTCAACAGTGCTTGTCTTATGGATATATTCGACCCCACCGTGCGGATGTGGGATTTACACCACTGTTTCACGATCCCCTGGTGAAGTTTAGCATGGAGACACTTTTATGTTTAATTTGTTTCAGTTTGTAAATGCATCACACTGGCATGCGTGCATTTTAAATGTGATCGGTGGTGCAGGTCAACATGGCAGCCAACAAGAGCAAAGGCCAGAACTCGCTGGCACTGCACAAGGTGATCATGGTAGGAAGCGGTGGCGTGGGCAAGTCTGCACTCACGCTGCAATTCATGTACGACGAGGTGATGCCCCCATTTACTCTCTTCTATTCATGTATGACTCTAGTGCCGATTGAAATAATATGATGACACTTTGTAATGTTATGGGCTTCTGGTTGGGTGGCACTGGCAATGTGTCCAACACAATCGGAAAGTTGCAGATTTCAAGTCATAATATGTGAATATATTCAGATACAATTTTAAATGCTGCTTAACTTTTGAGTAAAATGTATTCATTTTATCCAGGCTCTTGCTTGGCTAAATAAAGAAAATATGTTTCGATTTAAAGCTTTCGTGACTGCAAGGATTCATCTTCTTGGTTCTTTCGGTAAAGTCACGTAGAATGAGAATAAAACAATAAAACAAAATAAGACAATGAAATTCTCATGACGTTTCGGGATGACAGCGCTGTCGTCCTGACAGTTCTGTTCCTTCACCTGAAGAAGGCTACTTGTGTTGTGGCTGAAACGTCGTGAGAAGTTTATTGCCTTTTTTTGTTTTATTGTTTTCTCATTCTACGTGACTTTACCGAAAGAACCATGAAGAAGAAAATATATATTACAATAAACATTGTAGTACAGTACTACTTAAATAGTGCTTGATTTGAATGTGTTTGCTTCTCAGTGTTTGCAATATCATGATTTATATGCTGCTGTAACTGAATGTTTCTTACCCACTTGAACAAATAAAATACAATCTAATTGTATGCACAAGTAAATATGGAATGCTTGTAACCCAAATCCTCGCACCATTCATGGGGCACATACTTAATTGCTAGTGGTGAAATATTTCATAACTTATGAGTCTTATCACTTCATGATGTAAGGTAGCTTAGTCAGCTGAACACACCTCACAAGAGCATGACTGTGAATTCACCACATTGTTAGGGTTGACTTAGCCCATTGGGGTTTGTAAATGCAGCACCACTTGTTTTATGACTTCACTGCTTGGAGGAGTGTCAGAAGTGGTTGTCCTAACAGAAACTGGTCTTTGAATGTATCGGGTGGTGGAGGGGTTTGAAGACACATGTATATATTTACGCGATCTAACCTGAAAAACCTGTATTATGGCGGAAAAAGATGATAACTAAATGCTCATGAAGCATGTACACTTATTTGATTATACCTTTATCACTTATATTACTCATTCGGATTTGTAAAGTATATAAATTTGGGCATTTGTCACAAGATGCTCTATAAGGATGGGGAATGTATGCTGGGAGTTATTTAGAAGGGAGGCGGTTGTGATCAGTGAAAGGGGAGTGACTTACAGATTTGTTTTTTTACCCGAGGAGAATGTTTTATTTTTTTTTCGGGACGAAGGGGGTTCATAGTACAGTGAAAGGAGCGAAGAAACTTACGACAGCATGGGCAAGAATGAACATCGAAAGGCTTCATGCTGTGCTGGAACCCGGACTTGCCGTCACGTATGCACTCACGTGCGCGAGGTGTGCAGTTTGTGGAGGATTACGAACCCACCAAGGCCGACAGCTACCGCAAGAAGGTGGTGCTGGATGGCGAGGAGGTGCAGATCGACATCCTGGACACGGCTGGGCAGGAGGACTACGCCGCGATCCGAGACAACTACTTCCGCAGCGGCGAGGGCTTCCTCTGCGCCTTCTCCATCTGTGAGCACGAGTCGTTCGCTGGCACCACTGATCTCCGGTGGGTAGCCCAAATTAAAACCCCTACCCAACCCCACACCTCTCTTCCGTTTCTAATGACTGAGCATTGGGTGTTCTTTATACAAGCAAATTTTCAAGCAAAATGTACTTGCCTGTTCAAAGAGTATACTTTATTTCCCATTTAATCGAGTCATGACGTAATATATATTAAGATGATGTCTGTGTCTTAGAATTGTTTTTATTGATGTTCTAGAAGGGCTATAAAGCTACATTTGTATCACACATGGGTGAGTCTGCCTAAACCTAGAAAATCTGAACACTAAATCTTGACTTACAGTGAAGGAAAAAAGTATTTGATCCCCTGCTGATTTTGTACGTTTGCCCACTGACAAAGAAATGATGTCTGTAATTTTTTATTATAGGTTCATTTAAACAGTGAGAGACAGAATAACAACAAAAAAATCCAGAAAAACGCATGTCAGAAATGTTATAAATTGATTTGCATTTTAATGAGGGAAATAAGTATTTGACCCCCTCTCAATCAGAAAGATTCCTGGCTCCCAGGTGTCTTTTATACAGGTAACGAGCTGAGATTAGGAGCACACTCTTAAAGGGTGTGCTCCTAATCGCAGCTTGTTACCTGTATAAAAGGCACCTGTCCACAGAAGCAATCAATCAGATTCCAAACTCTCCACCATGGCCAAGACCAAAGAACTCTCCAAGGATGTCAGGGACAAGAGTGTAGACCTACACAAGGCTGGAATGGGCTACAAGACCATTGCCAAGCAGCTTGGTGAGAAGGTGACAACAGTTGGTGCGATTATTCGCAAATGGAAGAAACACAAAATAACTGTCACTCTCCCTCGGCCTGGGGCTCCATGCAAGATCTCACCTCGTGGAGTTGCAATGATCATGAGAACGGTGAGGAATCAGCCTAGAACTACACGGGAGGATCTTGTCAATGATCTCAAGGCATCTGGGACCATAGTCACCAAGAAACAATTGGTAACACACTCTGCCGTGAAGGACTGAAATTCTGCAGCGCCCGCAAGGTCCCCCTGCTCAAGAAAGCACATATACATGCCCGTCTGAAGTTTGCCAATGAACATCTGAATGATTCAGAGGACAACTGGGTGAAAGTGTTGTGGTCAGATGAGACCAAAATGGAGCTCTTTGGCATCAACTTAACTCGCCGTATTTGGAGGAGGAGGAATGCTGCCTATGATCCCAAGAACACCATCCCCACCGTCAAACATGGAGGTGGAAACATTATGCTTTGGGGGTGTTTTTCTGCTAAGGGGACAGGACAACTTCACCGCATCAAAGGGACGATGGAAGGGGCCATGTACCGTCAAATCTTGGGTGAGAACCTCCTTCCCTCAGCCAGGGCATTGAAAATGGGTCGTGGATGGGTATTCCAGCATGACAATGACCCAAAACAAACGGCCAAGGCAACAAAGGAGTGGCTCAAGAAGAAGCACATTAAGGTCCTGGAGTGGCCTAGCCAGTCTCCAGACCTTAATCCCATAGAAAATCTGTGGAGGGAGCTGAAGGTTCGAGTTGCCAAACGTCAGCCTCAAAACCTTAATGACTTGGAGAAGATCTGCAAAGAGGACTGGGACAAAATCCCTCCTGAGGTGTGTGCAAACCTGGTGGCCAACTACAAAAAACGTCTGACCTCTGTGATTGCCAACAAGGGTTTTGCCACCAAGTACTAAGTCATGTTTTGCAGAGGGGTCAAATACTTATTTCTCTCATTAAAATGCAAATCAATTTATAACATTTTTGTCATGCATTTTTCAGGATTTTGTTGTTTTTGTTCTGTCTCTCACTGTTCACATAAACCTACCATTAAAATGATAGACTGATCATATCTTTGTCAGTGGGCAAACGTACAAAATCAGCAGGGGATCAAATACTTTTTTTCCCTCACTGTAAAGCAGTACGTGACTGCAGGAATTAATATTCTTTGGGTCTTTAAGTACAATTTTGATTTACAGCTTTCAGTAAAGTCGGTAAAGTCACATAGCTTGTGTTGTGATCGAAACGTCGTAGTTTTTGGTTTATTTTCATTCATTTGAACCTATCTACGTGACTTTACCAAAAGACCCAAAGAATCTGAACACTTGAGTTCTAGAATTTTGGCCTCCAAAATGACACTCCAGAACTTTATTAATTTCACTCATGGATCAGGTTTAGCCTCAAGTTCGGAATTGGTTTAAGTAATGTACAAAACAATCACACCTCCGATTAACACAGTTGGCTACGTACGTTGTGGAAGAAGTTCAACATACTGTATAAATATATGATCCCCTTCATCAGTGAAACAAATAATTTACCTCATAAGGAGTTTGATGCAGATGCCAATTAAAGTGGGTGAATGCCCACTTTCATTGACTAATGATATATATTTCCTATTTTAAACTTTAATTGCAGACAACATATGGATCTGTATTTCCTTCAGCATCAGGAGTGAACATGGTCAATACTGTACTGTGTTTTATATAACACGTATACACATTGTCCTCACTGTAAGCTGTTACTGCGATTAGATTGTACGTCCTGTCAACCCTTGTGCATGATTGCCACACAAACAGTTTCCCGAGCAACACCAAGATACGGTGATACTATTTCACATAGATGTTGTGTAAGGGCATGGTAGGCATGGCAATTCGTTGAGACAACAATCACACTTTCATTATGTCCATGCAACCGAATGTCACGCTTGTCTTCGTATAATAGGGGAGGGAGCAAACTCGACTGGTACCGATGCTATTCATTTTTCACTGAGATCTACACTGAGGCTTTCAAGCCAAGAATTGTCCCTTGTAACTGTTGCTTGACAGTCATTGATTGTTTATGGTGAAGGAGGGCAATGTTGACACTGCCTACAACTGCCTTGTCTGTACTAGGGCTGGGAAATTCCTGCAGGAATCATATTCGATTACCACCATTACACCCTGGATGGTGCCTGTAGGAATCCCGACTCTTAATTGGGTTATTCCCATGTGCAAATCTACATTTTAATGGGATTCTTACAGGGATTCTACCATGGAAGATGTGTGCAAGAGAGAGATTTTGCTGTGATTTTATTGTGTATTTAGCTTAGCAAACGACTGCTTATTTTAGCTAAGTATTGCAAATTCCTGCCAGCCAGAACGGTGATTCTTTCTGATGATATGCTTCCTTGTTGCTATTGAAATGCAATGTCAATGCATTATGCGCAGGATTGGACCAATTTGGCCATGATTCTGACCTGATGTTTGAACAGGAAACAAGTGGAGCCATGTTGCCTATATGGCCTCATGGAGACAGGTCAAGGCATGTTCCTTACCCAGACCCCTATACACGAAGCTGCCAAAGATCAGGCTATGCATGGAATGTCAAAGTGTAATGCCAAGCACATGTACATGCTCAAATGTCACGCTAGAATCGGGGTGTAATTGGTGCAGTCGCTGAAAATATACACGCCAAACCATGCAAAAGTTTACCATGAGCCAAGCTAAGGTACCTATAGGATTCTTAGAGTTCATTGTTATTCCCTGAAGCTCAAAGAGTCCGACTGTGTCAATTTCATTTTCTCTAGATTAAAAAGCTCATATCAAGTGTACCAAAGTTGTGGGAAATTATTTATTTCATAATAAAATATATATTTTTATCCAGGAAATAAAAATTTCAAGACGTTTACGAAGTTTTTTTCTTGCAATATTTGGCCAATTTATTTGTGAGGCTTATTACATAAGTTGACTGGAGTGTCTGGAAAAAAAAAATCCCCCAAATATGAGGATGAAACTCTAAGTCCACATATTGATCAGCAGCCTACTTGCTGTACTGGATCTTACAGTCACCCCGTTGCTCCAGCAGATGAAACTCTCGTGCACATGATTTTAGCACAGTATACCAACCCTGCTTCAGAGTTGCTGAATTACATGCTCCACCACACCTTACTACAGTGATATTTTAGTAATGGCTAAATATCTCATCTATAGCACCACCTATGGTATTAACATGAGCCAGTGTGTTGAAATCCATAGGCGTGGGCACATTTTTGTTGGAGTAGGTAATCCGCAGATGGTGTTGGTGATATGGAAGTCTCAAACTACAAATGGATACATGTGAAGCACACAGTTATTTATTTCAGCCCCTGCAAAGCTGTTTGGGTGCCAAAAATATGTAGGTGTGAGCTGAACATTGTACTCGATATGCAGGTTGGCACACGATTTAGTAAATAAAACAAGGCAGCCAGGCAGCATGGATTGAAATGTCTCCTACTGCTTCTTAGGCTCTTTGACAAGGTGCATTTATTTTGCTGATTAGGTTATTCAATGCAAATGCTGCACATGGTCTGTTGTGATTTGGGTAACTTGAAGTGACCATACAAACACACACAGGGGTTGTTGAAAAGGGATTCCCAAGACCAGTTAAAAACCTCAAAAACAGCCGCTGTTGTAATTTCCAAAGTTTAACTCCTTTTTGAACACACTATCAGGCAAATCCACAAGACAGCATTCACTTTGGAATTGGCGTACGGGAAGTGTTTTTAATTATGTACTAAATAGCTACCATTGTCTCCCTGCTCCAATGATCATAGGATGATGCTCATTTTCAGTGGTGGTCCTGAGCCAGTGGAGGATATTCCACATTCCTATGGTGGGGCCAGTTTGGAGAAATGACCTTAGTGTTCATCTCAAAACCCACTCCTAAAAAAGTAATTTCCCAGACATCCCAGTGCAAGACTGTCCGAAGAGAGAGTACTAGAACACAGTGAGGCTTTCTATCGATATATAAATAACTGCATTATTACTGGTAGGAACCTCCTGGTTAAACCAGCCCACAGGGGATTATTGTGTCCGTCCGTCGTGCATCCAAAAATGGGCTGGGTGGGGAGGGAGGGGCTGGGTGGGGAAGGAGGGCTGGGTGGGGAGGGTGGGGAGGGTGGGGAGGGGCTGGGTGGGGAGGGTGGGGAGGGGCTGGGTGGGGAGGGTGGGGAGGGGCTGGGGAGGGGGTGGGTGGGGGCTGCATGGGGAGGGGCTGAGTGGGGAGGGTGGGGAGGGGCTGGGTGGGGAGGATGGAGTTGGGTGGGAGGGGTGGGGCTGGGTGGGGAGGGGCTGGTCACCCCGTGGTGCCCTTATAAAACTCAACGTTTAACCTACTCACGCCGGCTTGTGCCCGCCCTCACAGTCGGGCATATTTGCGGAATACACCACGTGGTGCCACCGTTGACCCTGGCCATTGACCGAGCAACCCAACGTTCCTACCAGCTCCCTCCGCAGGAATGTGTTCTAAACTTGTACATGTACCACCTATCATGTCAACACTGTGCCAAGGATGAACCTTCGTATAGAGCCCAAATGCCCGATTTTACATGCTTGCGGGCGCAGAGAACAGATCCTGCGTGTGAAGGAAGATGACAGCATCCCCTTCCTGCTCGTGGGGAACAAGTCAGACCTGGAGGAGCGGCGGCAGGTGTCCATAGAGGAGGCGCGGGCACGTGCAGACCAGTGGGGCGTTGGCTACGTGGAGACGTCCGCCAAAACTCGCGCTAACGTCGACAAGGTGACTTGGGCACTTGGGTTACGACTTGGTGAGATTAGCAAGAAAGCTGTCTCTGGATAGAAATTATCGGCTGTAACAGAAAGAAATTGGTTACTGACGAATAAATATTAATCCGTTTACTTAAATTTGCGATGCTAGGAGGCATCAAAGGATTTTATTTTTTTACTTTTGATGGTGTTAACTACACATTCTCATGCATATGTAGTGTCCTCCTCGGTGTGCGTGTGTGTATATGGCGCACAATCAGGCCCCTTCTCCCTCTCTCTTTATTTCCGTAACACCAACTCTGGCCTCTTCTCTCTCGGCCACGTTGCTGTTCCGCCCGGCCTAGACACAACCCTGACCGCGTTGCACCTACGGCGTCGACCGAGACAGCCAGCTACTGTCCGGTCGCGCAATTATCGGGCGAAGCCGGCAGCGACGAAGGCGGCGAAGACGACAGTGACGACGAGACGAGTCCACTCCCAGAACCGGCAGCCCGGAGCTCTCGCTCTCCGCTGCTTTTATCCTACTCGGCGCGGCCTGCCTCCGCCCTGGCCGCGCCTCCCTTCTCGAACCCACTAGGGGGTTCCAGGGGCCTCCCGATGAGGTCTTCCTTAACCATTGCCCCAGTTCCTCCACCCTGCCGCCACACCCGTGTATATGCTCGAAGGCGCGTGCGCTAACTGTCCACCGCAGTTGCCGCTGCCGGGCAGCAGTCGGCGCTGTGTCACTACACGCACTTCCGATTAGCACGGTTGGATACGTATGGTGCGAAAGAAGTTCAACATACGTATTCAAACATTCCTCAATGTGTAAGGTCACCAGTCGATTGCATTCTCGTATAGCATTGATGTATTGTAGTTAAGCTTAGGCACACAGGCATAATTATTTGCTTGTGGCATGACATCCAGTTTTCAATCAGAAGGTTGTGTATCTCTGTAGCGTTAGGTAATACAGGCAACCCTGGTACCAGATCATCATATTTGAATGTGATATTTATTGATATTGTCCTGATACTATGTATTACTTAAAAAAAAAGTTGCATATATTGCCTGACTCGTCCATTAATAAACAATTCAGTTTTGCATCTTTGTTTATTGATTTCAATGGGGAAACAATAATTAAAAGGAATTTCCTTTCCCAAGGTGTTGCCCAATTTATCCAATTTTATGTCTAATGTCATAAAACCAATTCCCAGGCATTGCAATTGCTAAAGTTATCTATTTTGAGATTCACTCCCAATTTATTAAAATGGATAGAGATAAGTGTACTATTGCTGCAGTGTACCACTCTATGGTAGTTCAGTGTGCTTTGCTGTGTCTTAGCATGAAAGAATGCCCAATCATCTGTGCAGCTTACAACGCAGGTATAATTAATCCTCCAGCACGAGATGAATTGTATTATTTAGGGACACAAGTCTACATACATGTTTTCGGCTCATTTTCACTATCTCATTTGTATTGTTTCTTATTTTTGTCTTGTTTGTAGAGTTTTACTTACTCCATGAGCAAATATGGAACTGGAGCAAATGATTTGCCCGAATTGTAAACGATCTATTCTCACATGCACAATTCAATGCCTGTTCATTGAGAGGAATCATGCATTCTACATATGCATCTTTACGAAGTTCTTACTGGTCTTTACGAGGTTCTTACACGATTAGCTAGCTTACCATTAATAACTACCGTGTTCACTGACCAAGCCCGTTTATACTGGATTGTACAGTTTTAGGTGAGACGGCATCGCTCGTTTCAAGATCACAGCACCTCGCTCAAATGTTTTATGCCTGTTTATCTTCACTTCAGGTGTTTTTTGATCTGATGCGTGAAATCCGGACAAGGAAGATGGAAGACAACAAGGACAATGGGAAGAAAAAGAAAAAGAAGAGCCTTGCCAAGAGAATCCAGGAGCGATGCACGCTGCTGTGAGAGGTGCTTTTTGCCTGCACTGGCATCCCCTAGATGTGACCATGTCTCACCTCGTGAAAAAGACAAACACAGAGGTTCACCTTGTGGCCCGCTTACACTGTTTGTGGCAAGTGCTTTTAGTGAGCACCTATCACAGTCGGTGCAGCACGCAAAGGGGTGGCGTGGACATCGCTCAAGGCCAGCCATCTTTGTCTCTCCATTGCCCATGTTGACACGGTGCACTAGGTACTCATTTAAGGCTGAGTCGACCTTGGGGAGAGACCCAAGAGCTTTTCAGATATCACTTGCCACTGTTTAGCCATGATTGGGAATTGAACTCAGGTTGCTGGGTTCTGAGCGCAGTGCGCAATCTACTACACCACTGCTCCACCCATTGCACACATACACTCGCTTCTGCCACAGTCATCACATGAAACACTCATGTTGTCAAGAATTGATGTACCTCTTTTTTTTAAATACCTTCGAAGTAACTTTCAACATGTCTTCATCTTAAATGTAATTTTTTGGGGGTGGAAGTATACTTCTGTTTCCTTAATCACTACTCCTTGCACGAATGTAAACATGTGTAGGTGACTTTAACCTCCATTTTTAGCTCAAAGTGATTTGCACCCAAAAGTGCCAAATTGCACAGAATTAACACTGTGAGGTGCACATCAAGGTCTCATCACACCGCATGGGCCACAGCTTGCAACTCATCACATTGGCTCATTTTTTCACCTGCTCACTCACTCAGGGCTTGTCCACCTACTGTATTGACCATCTCGCCTGGAGTCTTTGACCCGACCACCTCACTCTCTTGGGAATCAAGACTGATTGCCTGACTCATGTGGGCTTTTCATCCACTTGGCTCACTTAGGTATTGTTTTAGCATCATTTTCTCATTTATGTGGGTCTCCTACCTGTATGATCTGCTTGCTTGCCTGCCTGTAAAACCAGGCCACCTTTTTAGAGGTGACTTGAATTTATTTTTTTCTTGTTATTTTTCTGTAATTTAGCTTTTGTTTTAGTGCTTTTAATATAGGTGAAAGTGAAGTTTTCAATGGGCACAAATACGGACATGTATGTCAATGTGCAAACCATAGCACACTTGTGTAAGAAATAAAATGTGTAACAAAAAATATAACATAAAACATTTTTAGAACATGCATCCCCATTCCTCACCATTTTCCTCCTCCAGCAGAAAGAAATTCAAGCCAACTTTGAAAAGTGTCAGAAATTTAATACCAAATTACATATTCACTCTATGACCTAAAACACAATTCGTTTTGGGGACTGGATTCATATGGGCGATTGACAATTTTGCAATTGATATAGATAAGATCGTAACAAACATACTACATTTCATATGCCTGAATTGGAGGATCAAACTGAAGAATTATATACAGATGCCTCTATTGAAGGTGCTCTGCATCTTCATTGTATAACCCCTCTGTTGGATTGTTACCCTATTTGTTTATCCATTTTGCTGACTTTTTTTTGCAAGCTATTTTCTCTGCGAGTCTTCATTATGGAGATGGTCAAGATGAGTAAAAAGAAGATACTTTGAAAATCTGTATTTATCAAGAAGGGTCTCCCTAAGTCTTGAAGGCTCTTGAGAAATTAGATTTGTATGTTTTTGTATTAAATCCATAAAGGGAACTTAAAAAATGGTAATATATAACAATGGATAAAAACGACCTTCTACACAATGTGTTCTATACATTTTTTACACGTGTTTTTGTTAGTCTTATGGCCTGCTTTGCACATGCAGTTTGCATTTGTCTTTGCAGATATCTATGCTATGGACTCCAACTCAATCTTTTATATTTTGGGATTTCTTCAGCAGTTTTAACATTATCACACAATTGGACCTGAGGCGGGAGGCAAAAAAGCACACATTCCGATAACCTGACAATGCTGTGGAGGAAAAAAAAAATACATGACGTGTTTCACGTAGTTGTTTATAACCAGGCTAAGACTCCCAGTTTGGTATACTCGATTACCTTGTTTTATATCAGGATTCAAACAGAATTAACAGCAGTGTTGGCGCAGTGCTCAGAAATGGTCATCAGCTGCTGGGCCACTCGGACAACGCTTCAACTAACATTTATGTTCACAATAATCGTACACCCTCCACGCACTTTCACTGATTATACACTGGGCCTTCTTATGCTGAGTGATGAATACGAATATAGGTTCAAGCTTGCTTCTGATATGCTCGAGTCTTGTCGTCGATTGGCAATCACATGTATTATTTTCAGTTTTGTGAAGTTTGGTTCAATAATACAATAATTATGTTCCACTTTGGGATGGTCTCCTCTGTTGGACATGTACAACAAATGGAAATAAATTTATCTAGAAGTTGAAATGTTTCCTTTAAAAAAGGCCTGCCCTTCGTTATTCCAACATTTGTATTACACGTTAAAATGTTTTCACACGCTTAGATAGCTCAGAGTTGTAATTCAGTTGCCACAATTAGTCATTGATTTGTAGTTTATCGTATTCATTACTATTTTGTTATTAAATAATTTAATAATAACCCTGAATTTCAGCTGTATAGTTTCTTATTCTTAAGAAACTATACAGCTTGTTAGCCAGAAATGTATAATGTACAAAACTGAGTCCTTGCAAACTGCATGAAGTTGCCTTTAACAAATAAATCAATCCTCAAAGTAACTTGACATCATTGGTAATTGTTTTGTTCAATAGATGTTGCACCCAGAGGCTTGTTTTTAAACACGACACTTCTTCAAGATCCCAGGATTCGCCACCGTGCCGCACTTTCATGAGGTTTGCTGGATAAGGCCAAAATCAGGCGTCCCCCGCGTAATGCGCTATAAACATTGGGGCAATTCGCAGTTGAGGGATTCATCTTTTGGGGACATACTTCACACTTATGCTACGCAGTTCACGTTTACGCTATCAAGAGAAAAAAAATGTCAATTAAAAAAAATTAGAAGTAAAAACATTTCTGATGGCGTCACCCGTGCCGTGGCAGCGTCCAGTGTCATGGGTTGGGTGTCGCCACGCTAGATTTGCCCATCGTGTGCGTCATGCGTGCTAACTGTAAGCAGCCGACGAAAGCGTGCACGGAAGTCCTGCAGTTACACCTCATTAAGTAATATTTTTGTAAGCAGTAATCTTTTTAATCTTGACTAAAAAAATTGTCATTAAACTCTCAGTTTATTAGTTTTTTTTGTGATGATAAGTTTAACATGTATACGTATTTTGTAAATCCAGGGCTAATAGAATGAAATTGTACCCAATTTTTTTTATTAGGTAGCCCCCCCCCCCCCTTATAACATGCATGTCTATTAGAAAATAGGCTTCATACAGCACGATTCCACTTAAGCACTGCTTTTCACGAACGCATGTCACACGGCATTCGAAGGACACATGTACTGTCGTCATCCAACCCCACAGACCTGCTGCCCACGTACATGTCTGGATGTAGTAAATGAATGCTATCCCTCCATGGCAGGCTGCTGTAAATACACATTCCATGTGTGGAGTGTTCACTGTAAAACATCTTTATGATGCTATAACTACGAAGCGTCTGTTTAAGCTAAATGAAAAAATCTACCCAAAACAAATCTACGCAGAAAGAGCATAAACATGCTTACTGTACTGCCATCTACTTGCCATGTTGTCGGCCTAAACGTGTGTCATGTACATGACGATGTGCATGTGTCATCTCACGTGTGCCAGATGAGCAACCTTCCCTAGCATGTGCTTTATTTAGACTTAAATACTGAAATTGCATTGCAATGCCCCATTACAAGAAACAAGGCATTGTACAGCTCAATGTGCATCTTGGTTGTAGCTAATTTTGAACTCCCAAGTGCACACAGCCCATACTGCAATTGAGGCCTGGTCAAATGTCCAGTTTTTTTTTTACCTTTTTTCCCAGTACCATCACTGATTAAATGCACAGACAATCTACAGGCGTGCCACATCGCCACACCATCCTTTCTTCAAACCATACCTTGCCTCACTACATGTCCGAACATTAGAGAGTGAGGTTGGAAATACTGGTTCCCATCAAAATATTCAAGAATAGTGGTTCGTAAACACAACCATACTCAACACGATTAATAATAATTGAAATGTATAAAGCGCCCTTAAACAATCGTTCTCAAGGCGCTAGATGAATAGTTATGTTAGGTATTCACCAACATTGCCAATTGTGTCTTACAAAAATAATTTAAAAGTTGCATTTTAGGAACTTATAGTCAACGTTTAATGACATACAATTGTATTTAGATGACTTATAAGTCACATTTGTTTTCTGTTATAAATAACGTATAGTTATTTTTTTACACGACAGTAGCATGCTGCCACATGAAATGTGGATTATGGTCTTGATTGCCTGCAGCAAAACGTAGCTTTTCGAGGCACATCATAAAAACATTTGAGAACAGTTATGTATGTTGAGCTGCTTTTGCTCAGTACGTAGCCAACCATGCTAATCGGAGGTGCAGGGAATGTCAAAACTGAAGACAAAAGGCAGTTCTATGGTTAATCAGATAAATCGGTAAGTAAAGCTGCAAAATAGGTTGATTAAATATTGACATATTTTCACGTTGCTTTATAGGTTAGTGTAATCACCAACAGGCTGTGTCTCGGTGGAAAATACATCAGCATAATTAAATGGTATTGTAGTATAGCTTCCTTAACACGGGGGCAATGATTCTGATTGGTTACGTGTCGTTCGGAACTGACTTAATCAGATCTAACTTGTTTAAAAAAAAAAGAATGCACCACCCAATTCTGGTCTCGTTGGAAATAAGCCTCACCCAAATATTGTTGCTTGTAGCTCATTACGCACCAAACCTCAGGGTGTGGAGGACATAAAGATAAATGATGTTATTGAGCTAGTTTTGTTACTGCAAAGGCTGACCCACACTTGCTTTCTTTTCCTTACAAACAATTGTTCACAACTACAGGGTGCTTCAAAACCATTAGCAGTTCTGAGAATTTGCACCAACACCACGTGGCATGTGCTGCTGCCTCCGGGTTCTGGAGACCGCCTGGGGAAGATTCCAGGCATCGTGTTGACAACGATGGCGAACAAGTGGAGACTTTGTTGTCATGTTACATTGTAATATTCGTTAGTTTTCCATTAAAGGCGATAGACCCATATTAGTGTTAATATTTTTTTAAGCACCCTGTATTATATTAAAGCGGTTCTAAACTGTATTGCTTACTTTTTTTGGTGAACTGAGAATTTGTTTAGAATACACTTCCAAGTGTGAATGTTTTTTTGTCCCTTGATAAACTTGCCAGCAACTTGTTGCATTGGCATGCGTGCTCCCCCATCAGGTATTGTCAGTGAAGTCGCGTTCCTTTTTTCTCTCCACAGTGTGCAAGAGAATGAATGTGCCCTTGATCACGATTTTTCATTGGACGACGCTGGTGGAATTTCTAAGGCTGTGGTTTTCTCTCCAGATGAAATTAAATCTGTTGGCAAGATTTTACACGGTCTGTCATTTATAATGTATTTGAAGAACAGCTCACAAAATGCCATAACTGTTAAGTTTGGTAGTCCATTGCATGGCATCAGGAGTTGGTAGCATTCGTTTTGCTTGTGCAAGAGTATCCTGAGCAGTGGTCGGCTATTTGATGAACAGATTGCACTTCACATTCACAATAGGACGATTTTATGTTCTATATGCGAAGGAAGTAACCGCACATTCGAACACGATTAAGTGCATCCCATTGTCTTATATACAGGCTGAAGCCAGGTAATAACTCCTGCGTCAGATCTTTGATGATATTTGTTTGGAAGGTTGCAGGTCATCCAGCTTTCACGCCACCGATCGCTAGTGCCCTTCTCTCCGCATGAGTCCAAAAAGATTCGAGGAACTTCAGCGAGGTTGGCGGCGCAGATCTGATATCCTGGAGTATTGGTAGTTTTGGGTTGCCCAGTAAATCAGGAACACGCAGGATAATATGTATTCACATATTTACACATTTTTAAATATGCCATGGCTGTATCACAAAACAGCAGTTTAAATGGTGTAGGTGCGTATTACCCCTGCAAAGTATATGCTTTGGCTGTTTTTGCTCAGATACAGAACTGCAAAGTCTTTACTGTGGCTAAATGCCTGCTTGCAAGTACTGTCTATTGATGCAGTTACGAAATGAGTACAGCGTTAACACTGTGAGCTTGTAATTATGGGTTTGCAAATGTAAATGCCTTCCAGGCTTGGCTTACAACGTCACATCGCATTTCTCGACAGATATACCGTTGGTATGTGTATAGTGTGTTTTCTAATGCTTAGTAAATGTTGCTCGCCAGATATAACATTTACTACTTGTACTCACTGATTGACAGTGCATTGACATGTAATGTAATTCGCAAACCCAATTCAAAGGTAACGTGTGTCTATGTAACACTGGGTTTCTTTGTGCTTTTTTTGCAATTTAATGATAGTGGATGTCAGGCTGGGTTCTGCAGGATCATTTCATGTTCAAATTAAATGTCTTTGCTTTACTGCATTGATATTCATAGTGGAAAAGGTTAATTTATTATGAGAATCCATATTAGTGTTAAACAGAGTTTGGTAGAAGCATGCTACTGTGTATGTTTTTTGCGGTTGTGTTGTGTAGCTTTCCGATTTTCTCGGGTTGTGCCGCTTGTTATTCGGCACGTCCGACGTTTTCCTCCAGGTGCTAGGGGTGTTTCTTCAACACGCGCAGAGAAATGACAGATGATGCCGAAGTTGAAGATGCCATCAGTAGTGCATGGCGAAAGCTTGAGAGAAGTGATGCTAAACGCCTGACAGAACCACGCATGAATTATGAGTGGCTGCAAAAGCCAACGTACTAAATACAATTGAAATGTAGCTCTCAGACACAGTCTTATCTTTCTGTATATTTATTATGAATAAAACTTGATTCGAAGCTTTATTATGAATAAAGTCCACTGACAAATCAACGAGTAACCACGAGTGACTATATACACGTGGGTAGTTAGACGACTCTAATCTGAGACAACGTAGCTTCGAGTTTCAAGACATCTCGAAGACGATGGAGACGACCCGTTCCAAGGCGACGATGACGACGGCGATTCCCCACACCAACAGCCCCGAGGTCCGGTTCGCGCCGGCTCTTATACCTCGCCCGATCTGGCCACGCCCCTATTCTCGAATTCTCCCCGCCCCACCTGGCTCTGTCCATCTCTGCCCTTGTTACACTTCCCCACCATTGGATCCCGTGCTCCCCCTCACGTGATCCTGTCAACGCTTGTCCCATCAATCATCATCGGCACGTCATTTATTAACCATGGTCCCGGGTAACTATACTGTCCCTCTATCGCTCCGTACTGTCTTTACATAATCACGTTTTATATGTCCATGGTAGATGTATCAATTTGTTCTGCCGACTGCCCACAGTAACCACGTTTTTCAAGTGAAATCGTGTTCATCAATAAAATGGTCGAAATAATTCCGAGTGGTAACTTTATTCACTTTTATTTGAAAAGTATTGCTTCAGTACGGGAAAGTACAATATCGGTAATATCCATCTCAGCATAACTAATGCCATGTTTTTTTTTAATTTGTTTTTAGAAATACTGCTTGACCACTAAGTGAACAGTGCAATGTTTTTATTTAAATTATAGTTTTACTTCAATAAAAGTTTTTATTCGAATTTGAAATGTGTTGTGTTTCTTT